TTGCAGCTGAAGTAATCAAATCTTCGTTTTATGTTGATGACTTATTGCATGGTGCAGATTCTCTTTCTGAGTTACATCAAACAAGATACGAATTGGAAGAGCTTCTAAAACAGGGAGGTTTCGAATTAGCTAAATGGCACTCAAATTATCAAGCTTTTAGAGATGACACTACTGTCAAAGAACTCAATATAGGTTCGGATGTTATTACCAGCACATTGGGACTGAAATGGGATCAAGATAATGATGTATTTATTCCTTCATTTAATGTTAAACCAAACTCTATCAGTCGCATCACAAAAAGAACTATTTTATCAATTGCGTCGTCACTATTCGACCCATTAGGACTATTAGCTCCAATAACCATATCAACTAAAATATTATTGCAAGAGCTATGGCTGCTTAATTGGATTGGGACGAATCCATTCCTCAAAATTTACATTCAGCATGGGAAAGGCTTTGTCACGATTTGTCATCATTGAACACCATTATCATTCCAAGGTACTGTTAAAAACCAAAAGCAAAACAATTCAGCTCCATGGGTTCTGCGATGCATCGATTCGCGCATATGGTTGCAGCATTTACATTCGCGTCACAGATGATTCCAACCTCATAGAGGTTCAACTATTCGTAGCCAAATCTAGAGTAGCTCCCCTAAAAAAACAATCGCTTCCAAAATTAGAACTTTGTGGAGCACTGCTACTTGCAAGACTTTACAACAAAATTAAATCGCTCTTCGAAAAGTTTGATACGGACGTCTATCTATGGTCTGATTCCCAAATCGTATTACATTGGCTCAAAATGCATTCGGCCACACTGTCTGCCTTCGTAGGCAATAGAGTTTCTGAGATTCAAGACCTCACCGCAGGTTCACATTGGAGATATGTCCACACAAATTGTAATCCAGCAGACATTGTGTCAAGAGGCAGCACTGTTAAGGATCTCACTAATTCTATTTGGTTTAAAGGACCTTCGTTTCTTCGTCAAGAGATGTATAAGTGGCCTGCAAACAAGAACGACAACTTGGATTTTGAAGAAGTCAATAAGGAAAAACGAAAAGCAGCATTCAAGGTAACTGTATCAACCAATTATGTCATAGATATTATTGATAAGTATAGCTCACATACAACGGCTGTTCGTGTACTGGCTTGGTTGTTTCGTTGGTATCATCATTATAAGAAGAAGTTCAACCGCAATGTCCTTACTCATGAAAAATTAGACCACGCCTTCCGATGCATCATTTCAAATATACAAGCTCAGTACTTTGCTGAAGATATTTATTTATTGAATCGAGGATCTATAACAAAAGGTTCATTAAAATACCTCAACCCATTTATTGAAGATACCGGTGGGTATAAGCTGATAAAGGTTGGTGGACGATTAGAATTGGCTGATCTTGCAAAAGAACGTAAACATCCTATCCTGCTGCCTAGCAAATCTGAATTCGTCATACGTTATGTTCGTTACTTGCATCGTAAGAATTATCATGCTGGACCTAAGGCACTAGTGGCACTCATTCGTTTAGAGTTTTGGATTATAAACGCCAGAGAGGTTGCTCGAAGAGTAGTCAGACAATGTGTTCACTGCGTGCATTATAAGCCAAAACTATTGCAACAGATGATGGGCAATTTACCGGTAGAACGTCTCACACCGTCACGGCCGTTTGCTCGCTGTGGTATAGATTTTTGTGGACCATTCAACACGTATTTACGTATAAGAGGGAAGCCTCCATACAAAACTTATATCGCCATTTTTATTTGTATGGCAACAAAAGCATGTATGGCAACATCGAAGTTGTATCAAGTTTGTCAACAGACGCGTTCATTGCAGCATTAAAAAGAATGATTGGCAGGAGAGGCTTACCAAGTGATATATTTTGCGATAACGCAACCAATTTTGTTGGGGCTTCGAATCAATTGACAGAACTAAAGTCATTCTTGTTTAATAAAATAACCCAATCGTCTATCATTCAGTACTGCGCGTCTGAATTCATTAATTTTCACTTTATTCCTCCCAGGGCACCTCATTTTGGCGGTCTTTGGGAGGCTGCAGTTAAATCTGCAAAAGGGCACTTATATAGAAGTTTGATGACTACTAAGTTAACATTTGAGGAGCTGTCAACAGTAACAACCGAGATAGAAGCTATTCTCAACTCTCGACCATTGACACCACTTTCGCCGGATCCTAGCGACTACGAAGCATTGACTCCTGCCCATTTTTTGATTGGGTGCTCTCTAAAGGCGTTACCGGAGCGGACGGAATTTGCTAAAACTAACATGCTCGACAAGTGGTCCCTCATCATCGGTTTGAAACAATCATTTTGGAAGCGGTGGTCTCATGAATACATAAATGAGCTACAGATGCGCACAAAATGGACCTGTGAAATACCAAATATCATGCCCAATGCAATGGTGTTAATTCATGAAGACAATGTGCCTCCACTACATTGGCAACTCGGAAGAGTTCTGAAGGTCATACCAGGCAAGGACGAGCATGTCAGAGTAGTTGACGTACGTACCTCAAAGGGCATCATTCGCAGACCTATCCACAAACTAGCCATTTTACCTATTGAAAGTCGTTTCAAGGAGGCCGGGATGTTGGGTAACAATACAAAATAACATAAAATATATAATGTTCATAAATAACGAAAGTTTTTGTATTATTGGCAACCCTGTTGCACAATGTAAGTTATTACAATAAAAACGATCAGTCTTGATCAAACTCGAATTAAAAAACAACGTGTTTTTTTGTCGTCTCTTTTTCGGTTTTAGTTTTACTAAGAAAAATTCTTCTTGGTACAGCATCGTTGTGGGACATACTTGTAAAACAAATTTAGAACGTATAAAAAATTCTACCACTGGTGTAAATTTTTCAAATAAAGCATTTGCCAAATGTACTGTTTGTGTAAAAGGAAAAAAACTTTTAAAAGCACTGGAACTCGTGCTACTGAATGTTTACAGCTGATTCATACTGACGTTTGTGGTCCGTTGCCAACGCAATCATTTGGAGGTGCGCGTTTTATTCTAACTTTTGTCATCAGACTTCAGTAGGAAGGTGTTTGTGTATCCAATAAAGAAAAAGAGCGATGTTTTCAACAATTTTATAAATTTTAAAAATCTTGTGGAAAATCAGCAGAATGGTAAAATAAAAACATTACGATCTGATAATGGTAAAGAATACTGCAATCACCAATTTAATTCTTTTTTTTGCTAATCGTGGAATCGTACATCAATGTACAGCCCCATATACACCTGAGCAGAATGGCGTTGCAGAACGTATAAATCGTTCATTGCCGGAAAAAGCTCGATGTCTGTTGATAGACAAAAATCTGCAAAAACAATTTTGGGCTGAAGCCGTAAGTACTGCAGCATTTTTAATGAATAGAATTCCCTGTAGAAACAGCAATATAACGCCAGAAGAAATTTGGTCGAAACGAAAACCAGATTTGAGCCATATTAGGTTATTTGGTTGTAAAACCTTAGTTTACATTCCCAAGGAACATAGAGGGAAACTCGATGCGAAAGCCACTGAATGTATTTTAATCGGTTACTGTGAAAATTCTAAAGCTTATAGACTCTATGATTTAAACAACAAAAAAGTTATTATAAGCCCACAATTAACGTTCATTGAAAATAATAATAAACATAAAAATATGAATTGTAATTTCATTGATTGCTCTCTTACTCCAGAAAGGCGCTTAAGGTCAATGGTACAAATGAATTCTGAATGTTATTCTTCAGACAATACTGATAGTGAAGACAACGATGATGATATCCAATTTAATGAAACTGTGAAACCACCATATTCTCCAGAAACACTAGAAACTAATGTTGAATTAGACAATACAACTGAATTTCATTTTGATGAAGCAAATAATAAACATACTGGATTCAGTGAGGGTGGTACTGATGCTATTGAGAATCCACTATACAATTTATTTGTCGGTGACCTTGAAGTGCAAAGAAGTTAAATATCTGTTCTTAATGCTGCACCCGATAACTTCGATTTAATGACTAAGGCGGAACATATTGGTCTCTTGGCTGCAATAGCTGATAAATCTGAGCCTTGTAGTGTTAATGAAGTTTTAAATGGAGCCGATAGCAAGAAGTGGACTGAAGCTATGGATACAGAAGTGACGGCGCTTAAATAAAATGAAACTTGGGTGTTAACAGACTTGCCACCTGGGCGAAAAGCAATTGATAGCAAATGGGTTTTTAAAATTAAAAGGAACGCAACTATTGAAGTTGAGCGTTACTAAGCACGACTTGTAATAAAAGGATATTCTCAAGTAGCAGGAATTGATTATGTTGAGACGTACTCACCAGTAGTACGATATGCATCCATACGCTTGCTCTTGGCGATGGCAGCTAAATATGACTTATCAATTCACCAAATGGATGCAGTTACAGCATCCATGGATGCAAGGTGAGCTAGAGGAGGAGATCTTCATGCGTCAACCTGAGTACATCAATGATGGAACAAACAAGGTATGTCTTTTACGAAAAAGTTTGTATGGATTGCAACAAGCAAGCAGAGTATGGAACATCAAATTAAATAATGTTTTAACGAAGCAGTTAGGTGTCAAAAGATCAACAGTTGATCAATGCATCTATTTTCGACATTCAGATCTGAATACAATAATACTTGCTGTTTATGTAGATGGCATTCTGATTTTTGGTAGCAATTGTACAATGATATCTAAACTAAAGAAAAATTTGTCAACACACTTCAAGATGAAGGATATAGGTCTTGCTAACTCAGTACTTGGTATGAATATAGTAAAAAATAAAGATGGTTCAATTTCTATTGACCAAACAAACTACATAATTAGTATATTAGACAGATTTAATATGTCTGATTGTAATCTGATTAGCACTCCTATGGATCCGAACCAGAAGCTAAATAAAGAAATGTGTCCAAAGAATGAAGATGAAAAGCAGGAAATGAATTCAATCCCTTATCAAGAAGCGATAGGTTGCATTATGTATGCGGCACAAATAAGCAGACCTGACATAAGCTATGCTGTCAGTTCCTGGTCAGCTCTGAAAAGAGTTTTGAGGTATCTAAAGGGCACTGACGTACAAAAGAAAATATGAGGATGAGTTAGTTGGGTACTGTGATGCTGACTGGGCAAGTGATCACGACGATCGACGCTCCACGACTGGCTATGTTTTTAAATTGCAGGGTGGTGCAATTTCATGGGCAACACGCAAACAACCAACCATAGCTCTATCATCTACAGAGGCCGAATTCATGTGGATGGTTGCTGCTATACAAGAAGCTATATGGCTCAAACGTTTTGAAACCGAAATATTTTTGCAGTCTGAAACATCGTTGACTTTGTTTTGTGACAACCAGGGAGCTATACAACTTGCAAAAAATAGCAATTATCATCCAAGAACGAAACATATTGACGTCAAGCACTACTTTATTCGCGAAAAATTGGCAACTGGAATGATAAATCTGAATTACTTATCAACAAACGATATGGTTGCAGATATATTGACGAAAGCCGTAAACCAAGTAAAATTGAGTAAATTCATTGCAGAATATGGATTAAATGAATTAGTTTAATATGGATATATATATCATTAAAGCTCTAGTGTGGGTGTTATAATAAATATAGTAATAATGTAGTAATAATTATAATACTAATAATGTATAGCTTTAATTTTATACATATATGGCAACCCTTAAATATTATGTCATTTAATATAAATGAATTTCCTTCTTATTTAACTTACAACCGACCCGAAAAGACGTGTTTTTTTTATCTGCACACATCAAGACGTTTGCTTTTGAGTAACGTGATGTTAAGCGTACACGGCAGGTAATCACGTAAAACACTGGAACTTTATACATGTTAGTTGGTTGTAGCACTAAAAACATATATAACGCCGATGAGACTGGCTTTTTGTTTAGAGCTTCACCAAGTAAAACCTTTGCGTTTAAAAATGAAGTATGACACAAAGGCAAACAATCAAACGAAAGGCTTACAGTCCATTTTTGTGTAAATATGACCGGAGATAAAGAAAAGCCCCTTGTGATTGGGAAAGTTGCTCGTCCCAGAGCGTTTTCATCAGTTGAAATTAAAAAGTTACCAAAAAATTGGCACTGAAATAAGAAAGCATGGATGACACTCAAATTGATGACACAGCGGCTAATGGAATTTGATCGAAAAGTATAGTTCCACAAGAGAAAAATACTATTGTTTCTAGAAATCGGAACATCACACCCTTGTGATCAACAATTAAAAAATATTGAAATATTTTTCTACCTATGAACACATCACTTTGTCAGCCTTTAGACCAAGCCAACTTCTTGGTCAAAGTTTTGAAATAAATTATCAAAGCCTTTTAGTTACACATATATTGTCAAACATTGAGTCTATTTCAACAAATAAATTAATAAATATTTTGGAGGCAGTATATTTTGTAAAATCAACCTGGGAGAAGGTACAACCAGAAGCTATACAAAATTATGTCCAAAAATAATGCAAATAATTGGTACAGAAGTGACAAAACTAAAGCTAAAGTATTTTGTATTTACCTTTAAAATGTCTTTCAACCGTTCAACTTTTATAGCAAAAAGTATCCACTTATTATTTTATTAATATTATAACTTATTTGCTTATTGCACATTATAAATAAAAACTACAAAAAAAATGGCATTAGAGTATGTGGTATGATTCAAGTCATTTGACATTTATGCTACTTTACTAGGAAATTTTTGTGAAGATGATTCATTAGCACCGACACTCGAACAAAATATTTTGTAATATTTAAATAAATAAAGTAGATAAAATAAACCAACTACAACAACCACTACATTGGTGACGAAGCCGATATTGAATGGCTACACAAGACCAAAAAATGACCGAAGATACTACCAACGAAAACGCAACAATCACTGTAATAAACCTGCCAATGCCAGCATTAATAAGGAACAACATTGATCTTTGGTTTATACAGTTGAACTACTGGTTCCAAGTCAACCACATGAAGGGCGGAACTCAAAAGTTTCACAGCTTGAGGATAAAAAGCCATCTCATCTATTAAACGAATTACAACGCATTAATGAAAACAAACAAGACGAATAATTACTGAGAGGGTTATGGTTATAACGTCTTCCTGTGGTGTTGCCACAAACTCAAAACACATGAATCATTTCTGTGGCGAATGTGAATGCATATAAGAAGTGTATGCGAAAAACTTTTATACGCATTTATATTTAGTTTTTATGTGTGTACTCTGATATTCTTTTATATATTTTTTAATATTCTTTATTTTTTTCTGCGTTGTATGCAACGACTAAAGGCATACTGCTTAAATGTATGCTCTTAAAAAAACCCTCTACACGAAAACACCACAGACAATAATAAAAAATAGCAATGGAAAAATAAAATCAAACTGATATCAAAAGTTGGAAATTATTTAAAGAATGGCGAACTAACATAGTTGTAAAAAATATACTAAGTAGACTAACTAGTCTAGAAAAAATTCTAAGCGAATGCACAGAAAATAAAATTAGCCGTCAAACAATACAATTAAACAACTTTATGATTTTGTAAATATCTGTAGAAGGCCCTAGATGCCATCTAGTAAATATCAATAAGTAACTGGTTCTCTGCGTGACCACATATAACGTAATGACTTTGAAAATGTTATATATTTCAATATTTTGAAATTATTTATGAAATAATAATTATTTTTGGATTATACATTTTTGCCTATATTCCATAATTCTATATTGTATAAGTTTATTGTAATTAATTTGTGAATTTGGCGTGAAATCCACAAATTACTCCGTCGTAAAATATTATTTTGTTTTTTGTTTGGATTTTAAATTCGTAATCGTTTTAAATTTACTTCCATCTTTTCAAAATATTTAATAAAGTATGATTTTATAAATTCTATAAGATAGAAGTTAATGTTATATTGTACTCATTTGAATATGAATATAGTTATCGAACCAAATTTCTTAACGAAATTAGTTTTAAGAATTTAAACATGTTTAAAATACATTTTAATTTATAAAATTACAAATTAACATTAGATAACTTTATAATAGCAGAAGTAAAAATCTAATAAGAATTTTATCATTTAAATTTAAATATTGAAATATTTTTCTAAATCAGCAAAATAAAATAGTAAGTGTATTTTATAAAATTTAAAATATATATCACAAAATCATTAATTTACGAGTCCCGAAAAGCGTTGATGATAACCAAATTTTATGCCACAAATAAGTTAATTGCTCTTAATATATTAAGAATAATTTCTATAAATATTACTAATATAAATATGTAAAATTAATATCTTATTTTTATGATTATTTAATAAATTTCCAAAAAAAACTCTTTATACATTTTTAACTATAATACTTTTATCTAATTATTTCATGCATTATATAGGAAATATCGTTTACCTTATATGGCGAGTAATTGCGGAATTATGTAGTACAATGGAATTATGTTTTAAAATAGATGAAAAATACATGTTGAATTAAAGCATTTAAATTTGTATCAGAACATTTCAAAAGTGGTTTAGATATTAAATGATGTTTATTCTTTTCGAAATAATTGCATAATTAAATCCTGGTATGGTCCTGTCACATCATTTTAACTTGAATTACTGGTTCTCTTTACATTTGCTTAGTAATAAAGCTTTAATTGATAAACATAAAATTGATTGAAGTTATTCCGACCATACTTGATATCTGTACTGTTGATCAAAAAGATATCTGGTATTTATAAATTTGAGTTGTTTCATTAAATACTGTTAAAATCTGGAAAAAAAACATTTTATTTTTAAATTGAGAGGTTTATTTACATGATCCATAGACTGACCACTTTGTCATTTGTACCCTTTTAGATTTCAATGCCTTACTTTTTGTATTAAGGCAGATATACACAAATGTATTAAAAGGAATCTTCACAATTAAAAATTAAGGCTGCAATGTCAAAGGAGTAATTGTATGAGTACAATATCCAAAGTATAGACTTGTAGTAGCTCGTTATTTATCTAAAATAAAACTGTTGTTAAAATCATATATACATGTAATTAATACATCTTACTGTGAGCAGCGACAAATAATTAAATATTTCCAAAGGAATATTTATTCCAAACATTTGTTAAAATCATATATACATATAATTAATACATCTTACTGTGAGCAGCGACAAATAATTAAATATTTCCAAAAGTATATTTAAATCGGAAACAATTTTGTTTCTAATAGAGGTGACAAACGTTTTACAATAATTTATATTTGCGGCTTTAATGAATTCATTAACAAAACATTACGGAGTATCTATGTTCACCTACAAAAATCGTTTTGTTACATTTTCATGCAGAATGTTTGGAACACAATTTACACAATATTTCAATCATGTGCACTGGATATTATCATTCACTTCGGACACCAAACGCGAACTGTAATTATTAATAGTACTTTATCCATCAACAATTCCTTCTAGAAATTTAAATCCTTAGAAGTTAAACTTAATACCGCAACTGGTGGTGATAGAATGTTCAGATTATTTGACACTTCACGTTAACCATTCTCAATGCATATACCAAAGAATACCTTACAAGAACGACATCTCCATTGTGAACTAAAACTTTTTTTATCGAACTACAACAATTTATCACTTAGATTTTGAAGATATTAGTGGCTATTATGAAACTTCTACCGATAGATGATAGACATTTATCTACTGAGCCGATTGGTAAGTAAATTTCGTATTACGAAACTTAATAGACAAACATGTGCACTATTGTGAATGATATCAGGGTTTTAGAGCGTGCAGCTTTACTCGAACTTATTTTGTTAGTTTGTTTGTATTGTATTTGCTAAGAAACATTAAAATTAAATTCAAATTCTTTTTAAAATAAATAAAAATATATTTTATTAACACGAAATAATTACTTAATATTACATTACATTAACAAACTAAAGTAATATATTAAAATTAAGCTGTAATAGTCTAAAAATAAATATATTTTTATATTAATTTTAATATTTTTGTAATTTGTAGTTATATTTACATTATATGTATATTAAATTAAATTATTTATCTTTATATCTTTTGTCGGTATTTTCGATAGCCAATTTTAATTTTTCTTGTATTACAGTAAGTTTTTGGTCACAATACTCTAGCCTCCCTTCACTAAAATGTTTTCAATATTTTCTAGGCGCCTAAACTATTAAGTTATTAAGCTCTATCGCAATTTTTTCCCACGGTGGTCTGGAATGTGGCTTGTTGCAAATGCCTTTCGCAATGTCTGGATATTTCTCCATATTTACAACAAGTTTTACTACCTGCTTTTTATTTATTTAATTTTATTTTTATTAATTTTGCTCTACAATAAAATTTATTAATTTTATTATTTCTTAATTTTATATAAATACATTATTCGTTGAAAAATATATCTAAGAAATTTGAAAAATGATTGTATGTTGAAAATATTTGAATAAATACACATAAATAAATAACAAAACAAAATAATGCTACAGTCGTTATACTCAATATACATATAACACATTACACTTGAAACCAGATATATTAAATGATATACTGTATTATATTAAATCTAAAAAAATTATTAATAACTATTAAATTAGTAATATTAAAATTACATTAAATTTATATATTTAATTGACTGTATAAAGCATTTTAACAGCATTTATTTTATACGATCAACAAACTTCTACTGCTCAAATGCAGTAGAAAAATTTATCTACCCCTGATAGAAAAACTTCTATCGGTTTCTATTATAATACCAAAATTTGATTTTTTCTACCAGCAGTAGAAATTTTTGTATTGTCTATCACCGATCGACAATCCGTAATAGGCACTATTAAGCGGGTACTACGTCGAAATACGAAATTGTAGAGAAGTCTCATGAGTAATAGCACCATTTGCAGAAATGACAGGCAGACGAATGAAATTCAAAATATTTTTATACCTCAAGTTAAAAAAATACGTAAACATTTTTAAAATATTTGAAAATGCTGCTTTTTATTTATGATATACGAACTTTTTAAGTACAAACATACATTAAAAAAAATATATACGTGGAAGAAAGTAATATTCTTTTACTCAGTAAGTTATTTTAAATAGTAGGAAACACACATATAAAAAATATTTTAATTAAAAGTATGTGCGTGTCCGCGGCTGTTAACATCTTAGTGAAAGCTTTGTATTGATGTAGGTATGTTAAAATGAATGAAATGTAATAGTAAACGACGTCACACAAAGTCAACATTCCAGAATGATGTGTTATATCCGCTTTAGTGAAAAGTGCACTAATTATATTATTTTAAGAACGGATTAATTTGAAAATATTGAAAATGATGATCATAAGAAGGAATGTGGTTTTATTAATCTCAAGTGATTTAAATATAAAATTTGGTTCTATACAATTATTAAAAATTTACCGCGTAAATGCTTTAAAAAAGAATCTGAAACGTAAAGCAGTAGTGTATTTTACCATTATGAAATAAAAAGAATCAAAAAATAATTTATAAATGAGAAAAATATGGTATTAAGGGATACAAATATTTAGTAGTTTTTTTTTTAATTTCCGCACAACATTGCCAAAATAAGCTAAATTTTGCATTTAGTAATATAATTTTATTAAATAATAATAATAAATAAATCGCATTATTCACCACATACGTTTTGTGCTCTCATCCTCACTCGTTAACACACTTTTAAGAACTAAATTTAAAAATGAGGTAGTAGCTTCAATCCTTGTTATTAATTTCGCATTAAAACTATATTTAGTGATTTTATTTCAAAATTATTTTAGAAATAATGTTGAAGAAACACATCTCATTAATTAATAATGAAGTTACGCATCTAAAGCATGATATAGACGATGTTACATATGCGGAAACCAAGTATTCGTACTGCCAATTTGCACTGTGCATATTCAAGTATGTATACCAAATTTCGGTCGGTGTATACCGAAGTCTGCAGACTTCTCGTTATATAAGAATTTTGGTAAGCGGCGGACGAGTGAAGATTGCGGAAAAAAATTATTAAACAGTAACAAAGAGTGAACATTTTTTTCGCTTTTACGGTCATGTTTTTTTCAAATACTATATATTCTTTTTTCTCCGGCTCCTCAAGATATGTTGCTATTATCATAAGTTCAATTGCTTTACTTTTCATTATGGTTTTGCAAACCGAAATTACTCCGCCAGCTAACATAAATGAATTAAACTGTGGTATAGTAAAATGAATTAATATAAACAATCTATAAAAAACCATGTTACATCCTAAAATATATGAAATATTTATATAATAATTAAAATAACATGTTGCTTTTACCATCAACTCAATTTCTTCAGTTTCGATTATTGTTTTACACAGTGTACTTTCTCCTCTGTTGCTATGAATGTTGTAGAAAATAATCAAAATAAAGTAAGCAAACCTTCAAAGTGTATAGCAAAGCGTAAAGATGGAATGCATATTTGGTATTCAGACATGTAGCATTTTCTATATCACGCATATATATCATATATATAAATGTTTGCGTTTATGTACATTGTTACATGAACGCACTTAGCGATATATTTAAGTAAATTTATGGATCTTTATGGACTCTTTGGGAAGTAACTTAATTAAATATCATTTAAATACATAATTGTGTTTGCAAATGAATTTATATTAACGGTAAATCTATATATTTAGAATTTTCTGCTTCGAAAATTGTTGTTTTTGCATTTTGCAATTGTGTTTAATTTTTTTTTTAAATAGTAACTGTTAATTTTTTATGCTTGAATTTTATTGTTGTTTTTTGGTTAAAATAAATCAGAAAACACAAATCAATTTAAATAAAAACTAAAAAAGTTATGCGAACTTTAAGAAAAAGTTTTTTGGTGAACGCAGAGTTTTTCTGCTATGTGTGTATAAGCTCTTTTAACTGCATAATTTAGATCATTATAATCTGATTTATGGCTTCTTAACTCCTTAATATAACTGATTATATGTTTATATAAATTACTGTGAACGTTCTATACCGATTATATCGCAATACAAGTAGTTGAAATTTTTTGCCGCTGTGTAAAATTGCCATTCTAGTGAGTTATTCTTTGGTTATTTTGTGTTGTATTGTGAATGTGCAAATGGGAAATGTCAGAACACAAATCAAATAAGAATATTTTGCGCAATTTGTACTTAGTATGATTTTAATTTGATTTGTCGTATTACATGTGTGAACTGTAAAAAAATAAAATTAAAGTCAATCAAAAAAGTTTAATAACATGTGCAATGTTAATTTCACATTGTTAAACTTGTGCGGTTCTTCCGAAATCCCGTTACGACAATGAAGCGGTAACCCGCCATTTCAAACGGTAAAATTTGTAACTGAAATGCTAAACATGTTTTGTCGTGCAAAACTACGCAGAGTTAATAAAAAATGCATTGAATTTGCATTTTGAAAAAGATTTGTTTTATAAAAAACGCATGGCTGTGTGAGGATCCATTTTAATTTTGCAGAGATTTGAATGCATTGTTTTTATTCTCGATTGTTAATACAAGTAAATTTTAAAATTATTTATTAATTTTACTATATATTTAAATAATTTTGATATTTCATTATTTATTGTTTTTAGATTTCAGTTTTCTGTGACAGAAGTAACCTGTAGTTGGAACGTAAAGATAAACTACTCTTTGGAATGCTATTATGCTTTAGAAAGGCATATATGATATGAGAATGATATGAGTATTGTATTGTATTAGGATAATCATTTTGGATTGACTGGTATAATGTGACATGAGATTTATTGTGTTATTGATAAGTAAATAAGCTAACCAAGCTTAGTAAATAAAAATCAGTTTCATATTTGAAAAGCGAAACTTGACGTTGTGGCAGTTAGTAACTTATCAGCACTTGAAGGTGCTAATGATCAGATTCGGGAACATAAAGTAAGGTTAAGCACATAAGAAATATAACATTCAACATCAATAAAAACACGTGTGGTATATGCAAGTACCAACAAATCCTAAGGGAGACGACCACACTTAAATGAATTTGAAAAATAAAGTCCCACTATTCTATGTTCAGATGTGACTGGTATTCTTAGCAATAATGTTCATTAGATGTTATAATTCACATCTGTTTAATGAGGTTCCTTCTGGGATTGTGTTAGCAAATAAAAATTGAACTTAACCAACCAATCACTTGCCTTATTTTACTCTAACTATAACCAAAGCACACCATGCGTTTCATCTGAGCGGTGTTTTGTATGCCATGATTGGTTCACTTTTGTAAAGTATCATTTTAATTGAGGTGAAACTGATGCACATGTCAATGAAAGTTATTGTTAATAGAATGCAGATGAAGAATAATTTGAGAAGGGCTTATCATCAACAGTTTTTCATTCATGGTAAGATGTATTATTTTAATAATTAAATGCCAATCTTTATACTTTTTTTGTTTAAGAATGTGATGTAGTATGGAATGAGGAGATTTATTAATCATGTTGTAAAAGCCGCTTCAACCAAATATTTATAAATTGTACTTAAATACATACAACACAAATCCGATTTAAGCCAACCAAATGTTTCTGCAAATAAAAATGATAAAGTGATCAGTTATAACAAATCAGAGATAAACTTTCAATTTGAATTGAAAACTAACAAATAAAATTCTTCTAATATGAAATGATATATTAGAAATTATTGCAATGAAACGAATTTAACTTGAATTTGGAATGGAGTGAAGTAAGAAATCAATAGCATCTAATAACACCTATCAGTATCATGGCAACAACTTTAATCAAATTTGTGTTCATCAGTTAAAACTTCATTACTTCATGTAGTAGGAATACACACATAATTGGCATAATTGGAATGTGTATTGTAATATAATGCAATATTTAAGCATAATATTCGCAAAGTCTTTAGAAATTCAGTTGTAGCCAAATACTATCACTGTGTTGTTATTCATAACCCGATGGGGTAAAATGTTGGCGGAAAAATTGATCGCGTCATCAAAGCAACAAGACCAAATTTAATTCTTGAAGTAAAATCGTCATTTTAGAAGGTATATATAATTATTTAAAGTATGTTTAACATATACAATTTATTTTTCAAGTTTAAAAGATTGCAAATGCCCATAGATGCCAGTAGTTGTCTCTTCCATGGACTATATTTTTACTGCCTGTATTTGATTTGAAATGAAATCATCAGATAATATGTGCTGAGTTCAGAGTAGTATCAGATAGGATAAGCGTTATTTTCATCCGGCTTTCATACAACAGTCATTGCATCTAGTTTCTTTGCGGTTAGAAATTTGTCCATACATAAGAGAGAGAAGCAATTGTGCTTTTATTAATATACAAAAAGTAAAATGTGAGATGTACGTTGGGTAAATCATCTTATGCTCGTTTTTCAATTGTTAATATGTCATCAGTTAGACTTTGTAGACTCTGATACACTTGTCAAAAGTAATTAGTATTAAGGAATATCGTATGACTCACAACATCTATGTTGAGATTGCAATTTTAATTATTCATTGTGAAGAAATTACCTCCAAATTTCATAATTTTATTCAAATTTTATTAATGTAACTGTGGTGTATTTCTGCCTTAATACAAATATATTACTAACAAATGAAAGTAACAACTACCAGTAACTGTAATAACTACTTCATAACAAATGACAATGTAGTTAGCGTTTAGAACTAAAAATTACTGAAATAACTTCTGGATTTAAAAATAAAATATTTCTTTTCAGATTTTAACAGTTTCCAGAAATAGCTCACTATTTATAAATGCCAGATATCATTTTGATGAACAATATAGATATCAAGGAATAACTTGGTAGGAATAACTTCAGTCAAATTTATGTTCATCAATTAAAGCTTTAGTGTTAAGCACAGTAGTGAGAAGCAGTAATTCACCTATGATAGTGATGAGACCTTTATAGGATTGAGTTACATTTGTCAGGAATCAAATAAGTTCGAAAGGAAAAAACACCATTGCCTGTGTGAAGCTTCTTTAAAATGATCTGATATCAATTAAAATGCTTAACTCAACATGTCTTTTCCATCTATTTAAAAACATCAGACATTATTCAGCACAATTTTACAACAACTGCAAGTTATGAGGTAAACAATACATTCTAAATATTGAACTATATATTATTATATAAAATAATTAGATATGTAAATGAAAGTTAAAGATTGAAAAAGAACTAATCAGATAAAATTCAAATATTAATTTTACATTTAAAATAATTTTTTCGTATTTTTTATTGAAACAACTTTTATTATATTATGAGAAACTCATTTTGTGGCATATAATTTGGTTATAATTAAACTAATATTAATTTAGTATTTTTTATTTTTTCCAAAAATTTGTAAATAAATGGTTTTCTGATACATGTTTTTAGTATTTTCTGGAATCCAATAATATACTTAGTTTATTGAATTAGAATTATTAAATTCATTCTGTTGGTTTATTTTCACTGATCTTATTATTAAATTTAATCAAATGTGAATATGATTTAACAAAACATATTATTAATAATAATATGATATTTTGAATGTTTTTAAATTCTAAAAAACTAGTCATTTTAAATGGTTTGCTTTGACGGTTATCTTCAGATTTAAATAAGTACAATATAATATTAAGATGCATCCGATACAATATATGAATTCATAATTTATTAAATATTTTGAAGAGATGGAAGTAAATTTCAATCTCTTCAATCGATTGATAATAGATTATTAATTACAAAATCCAAACAAAAAGCAAAATAAGAGTTTACGACGGAGTAATTCCAAATTCACAGATTAATTACAATAAACATACAATATAGAATTATGGAATATGGGAAAAAATGTATAATCCAAAAATAATTATTAATTCATAAATAATTTCAAGATATTGAAATATATAATATTTTCAAAGTCGTTACACTATATATATAAAGTTTATGTAAGTTTATACCAGTTAATATTTAATAGATAATATACGTTAACAAAGGTGTAACTACAGTAAAATTTACAGGACCTCGTACGCTTTCAGCGGCAACCGATCATTTTCCTCCTTCTACTTCACTTTTACTACTGCCATCAACTACTGCCATGTTATTCCATTCCACTCTTTTACACTCGGCCGTCCTGATCATCAGATGACAATTCATCTCCACTTATACTACTGTAATGCCACGGCTTCATGTTATCAATACTGGTCATTGTTTGGTTTGGCCCCTCAAATCTTGCCGCTTTCTCGACATTATATCTACCATTTCTTTTAACTCGAACGACTTTGTATGGTCCCAAATATTCACTTGCCAATTTCTTGCCCGTTACATATTTTGTTCTTTTTATAGCGACCAGATCATTTATTTGATATTCAGTGATCTCGTACAATGCTTGTCAAAGTTTGCTTTATAGGCTTCTTGAGCTTTTTGTTTTTGCTTCCTCACTTCCCCTCGAATATGTTGGAGGTCTGCTTCGAACAATTGCACGTAATCCTCTTTGATTAATTGTAGTACGTCACTATCCATCTGCAGTTTCATTTTGACACCGAACATAAGTTCGAATAGGGATCGCTTCGTTGAACTGTGAACGCTCGCGTTGATATCCCGTTGTAGTTTGTTAACATACCTGTACCACTTCGACGGATCGTCTGTCGATACCTTTGACAACACTGACAAAATAACGCGGTTTTGGTTTCATCGCAAAAGTTAGTAAACGCTTGCGAAGCCAACGCTATACCTCTGTCACTTATAATACGTTTGAGGTAATCAAATATATCTGCCCATGTTGTCAACTTATTTACAACTTCATCTGCCGATGTCGTTTTCGTTAGGTACAACCACAGGAACTTTGTGAAACCGTCCATCACAGAAAAAATATATTTGTACTTTTTAGACGTTACATCCATTGGCCCAATGTGATCCACATGTAGAGTATTTAGCGGTCTATCGCCCTTTTCAATGTAATGTAATTCACCTTCTTTTTTGCTCAGCTTCTTATTGTGCATGATGCTTTTTATGCAATTATTGTTCAACGCGGCAACGTTATACTTCAGGTGTGGAATAAAGTACGTCTGCTGAATTGCGTGTATAGTTTTCTGCATTGCGAAATGACCAACTTCATGCGCTTCCATTACTTTTGACATCACTAACAAATCATTGCCATTTACACATTTCTAAACTAATTCGCCTTTCATTTTATAATCTTTGTACGCTGCTGTCTTTAGTACCTCCGTTATTGCTGCTATTTTTTCGTCTTACTTTTGCGCTTTTTTAAAACATGCTGTTATCTCGCAATTAATTATCAAAACTTCATAATGATATCTGCTTAAAGAATCTGCATGCTTCATTGCACTACCGCTTCTATGCACCACCTCGAAAACGTAATTATGCATGTAAAAAATCCACAGCGTAACTTCACGAGGAACATCTTTTTTTGCCACTGTTTGTTTGAACGCCGCGCAGTCAGTCACTAATATAAATTTTACGCCGAGCAAATAATGACGAAATTTACGCATCTATAACTATGCTGCTTTTCTTCCGCTGTCGACATCTTTTTGCTCCAAAAATGAATGGGATGTAATTGATCCTTCACTTGTTGTATAAGCACTGCACCAAACCCGTATTGTGATGCATTTGTGTGTAGCTCAGTTTTTGCGTCGCGGCTCTATAGCTGCAGTACCGGTTTTTTTACCAAAAGTGTTTTAAAGTTCTGTACAGCTTCTACTTGTCTTGGTCCCATCGTAAGTTCCATATTTTTTTTTTTGAGTAGTTCTGTCAAAGGTCTCGCAATTTCAGCATATCCCCTAATGAACTTGCGAAAATAGCCAGTCAATCCCAGAAACGACTGCACTGCCTTTAAATCTTTAGGTACGGGAAACTTTTGTATTGCTCTCGTTTTTTCATAGCCTGGTTTTACAGTACCATTCTCTACTGTATGACTTAAAAAGTTAATGGACTGTTTCATAAACGAACATTTTTGCCACTTAATTTTGAGTCCATATTTAGCTGCTACTTCTAAAACCTTTTTTAACTTTGTAATACCCTCTTTCGGCGTATTGCTATAGATTACTATGTCATCGATGTATAGTTCCATCATATTTTCGTTCATCAGCTCCTGGAAAATATACGTTATAAATCTTACGAATGCTGCTGGCGAGTTACAAAAACCAAACGGTGCACGATTAAATTCGGAAACGCCACTCTTAGTGACAAATGCTGTATACTTTAACCGGCACATGGGAAAACCCATTCTCCAGGTTCGTGACTGTTTTTGTTATACTCGATGGCATTTCTAACTGAACTGGAAATGCCATCGAGTTTAACTTACGATAGTCGATGCAGACGCGACACGAACCATCCTTCTTCTTACCCAGCACCACACAGCTTGCTTATTCTGACGTTGACCTACGAACAATTTTTTTCTTTAGCTATTCTTGTACTTGTTCTTCTACTGCTGCTTGATGACACATTTGGTAATCTACTCGGAGATTGACGAAACGGAACTGGTTTGTCTGTTATTATTTCCAGCTGTATTGGTTATTCTAGTTCTTTTTGCCTTCCATTAAATGAAATTATCATATCTTCAATACGTCTCTTACTTTGTTGGGGTATTATACCAAAATCTTTCTCTTGTTCAGTTACTTGATACATATGCAAAAATTGTTCATCATCAATTACTCGTACAAGCTTATTACTATTCTCAACATAAATGTATTCGAACTTACCGATAAAATTGTTACCAATTGTCATTACATTTTTATTTCAATACAACATTTACAGTAAAATTGTTATTAAATTATTACTTCACTATAATATTTACAGTACGAACTGACTACGACGACGCTTGCGAAATCACTCACTCCTCAAAACATAACAACGTTGTTACAACACATTGTTAAGAATGAACAATTAATGAATAGGGTGACAGCTCGGCCCTTCCTGACTGCAAGTCGCCTCGAATTGCGTTTCTTCTTCCAACTCTGAGTCATCTTCAAAATTGTCAATGTCAGGATATAGAGTACACCAAGGCTTCAGCTTATCGCTGGTATATATTGATGAATACCTTCGAGTTTTGATTTTACGGTCATCCATGTCCTCAACCAAATAGCGGTCATTCCCAATAACTTTCGCTACCACATACGGTCCACGGTATTTCGGTTCTAACTTTTTCGACTCGCCAGTAGCTGATGGAACGTTTTCAACTACTACCAGATCACCTTCTTCATACCGTTTTGGCTTTTTATGGCTACTGTCAAAACGTTGCTTCCATTTGGAACGTGCAGCTTCTATTCGTTGGACTGCTTCATGTCGGCGGGCAATCATATCTACTGGAGTATCATCTTGTAAAGCCTCGTGTAAATGATTGGCTGTTATATCTCGCAATTTAAAATCGAATATGAGATCGTTTGGAGCAAAATTAGTAGTTGAGTTAATTTGAGTGTTAAGCATCCACTGTAGTGATCGGAGTTCTTTGTCCCAATTTTTGTCATCGGATTTGGCTGTCCTTAAGAAAGATAGAATGGATTGATTTAACCTTTCCACCTGTCCATTAGCTCTCGGAGTACGAACGGCTGTCTTAACGTGTTTAATTTCATTCAGCTTACAGTAGTCAAAAAAAACTTTAGACGTAAATGACGTTCCTCTATCGGTGATAATTTTCGCTGGCAAGCCGAAGATACTGCTAAGTTCATTTAATGCGTTGATTATGGGCTGTGTTTTCGTGTTACGCACAGCTTTAATGATCACGTATTTGGTGAATCTGTCCACTAACACTAAAATATGCGTATTTCCTTTTTTGCTTCTTATAAATGGACCAAGATGATCGGCATGTAAAAATACGGAACGGCATTAATGGCTCCAATTCGTCAATATGTAATTCACCTTCACTTCGTCCACCTGGTTTTCGATTAAAACAGCATTCGACACAATTAGCAATATAGCCTTTAACAAACGTTCGCATTCTAGGAAACCAATAAGTCTTCTTAATACGGTTAATAGTTTTGTCGACTGAAAAATGACCTGCTTTATCGTGGCAAGAGTTTACTATTTTCCAACGTACTCCCTTCGGTACGACCCATAGTTCTTGATGGTTTAGTTTTCGATATAATCGGGAATTTTTGACTATGTAATC